GGAACATCTAGATGCAAAGTAGCATGAGAATCTTCGATAGTGAATCCCTAGGTGTCTGATCATGGAGAATTCTACTCAAGAATGACTTAAAAGATTGTGGGGCATAGAGTGAAACAAAAGAACGTCAATTGCCTCGAGAACTAGATTGACCAAAAAGTTCGCTAAGATAGTTCGCTAAGAGCATCTCCAACAATAGACCAAAAAGTTAAAGACCAAAAACTGATTTTAGGTGCCGAGAGAGAAGGTAATATGTCAAATTTGGCTCATATTCATGGCAAATCAGAAGAATTCAACGTAAAATTATGTATCTTAGATGTTATATTCACTACATTCCTAGCAATATCACATTCAATAAAAATGGATACAAAAATATAATTTCCTTGCGAATCAACCTGTGGTTGAGTTGGTTAGGTGGACAGTGGTATCCCTAACCCACCAGGGTTCAAATCCTGGTGCTCGCAGTATTCCTAGATTTATTTCAGGATTTTCGGCGATGCGCTTTCAGTGGGAGGAGACGTTCCCGTCGACGACGAGGCGCCTACGGTGACTTCGTAAATCTCAAGATGATATGCCGGCTCAGTCTCTCGGAGGTGCTCATAGGGGTAGGGTGTGCGTGCGTGCGTTCATAGGGGTGAGTGTATGCGCATGTATATGAGCGCTTGTGTCTGTACTGATGCTCAAAAAGAATTATAATTTCCTTTGCAGCATCTCGCCGAACATGTTGGGTGCGATGAGCTCACTTCTGGCCAATTGAGTTCAACGGGGACGAGAGGGATGCCAATTAGTGGGGGATGGTGATGGGAAGGAGGCCGAAGGCCAAGGGATCCGACGCGACGACCAATTCTGACGATGGGAACTCGCCCATGTGCCGAGAGTGATCACCTTGGGGTGGAGCGGCGACAGTGACAGTTGGGGAAGGACTTACGTCGGTGGGACCGGGCGGCGGCATGGGGAGCTTGGCGGTGTTCGGGGCGGACGATACAGACGGCGCCGAGGGGCGGAGTTCAAGGTGGAAACAATCTTTTGGTCACAGCTGCGTTTTTGGTCTGCTGTTGGAGATGTTCTATGTGTTGATAATTTTTTGTGAGCCACCGATAATTTTGCTTCATGCTATCCAGAACGAGAATCGTATAGTCTCTTTTGTATTTTCTTATTCTTTTTTGTAGATTGTAAACATGTTTTTTAATATACGTGAAAATAGCGTATACTGTTCTTGTTTAAAAAGAAGGCGTGGCTCATATTCAAATCTGTTGGGCTGACTTCCGGTGCAATTTGCACACTTGTCTACATGTAAAAAAGGTCGTCTCTCAGTTACGCAATGTCAGAGCAACGGCAGAAGTCAGTTCTGACGGTCCACGCACTCTGTGGAAAAAGTATTCCATAGTACTTCTAGAAAGAGGATAGTATATTGTTTCTTGTATAGATCATGTGACCCAATAGAGATTGGTGCTTCTAATCCATTGCGAGGAAATACAAGATGCACCATAAACATCAGATTAGTTGGCTGCTGGTGAGCTAGGCCCCATAGATTCCAGTTTAATTCTTCAGGCAAAACGGCAGCTGATGCAGATGTTTTAAGAGGTGTCAGCATATGAAGTTGGTACGCACGCATTCCCCCGCCCGCACCGAAAGAAAAGAAGAGACTTCACGAAATGCGCAGATTGGTGCACCTAACGCGAACCAGAATTTCACCATCGCGGAAAAGACTATCCACGCACACCTAATCGGCCAATGATGACCTTTGCTGGAACATCCGATGCTCATCACGGGGTTCGGACAAATACGAGGCCCAGTGTGTTCCTTTTTCTTTCTTTCCAAATAATTTGCCGAGTGCGCAGTTTGACGTGCTCAAATCAAAACCACCGGCCATGTCAAATGGTTTCGTGTCATGCATGTGGCAGTGGGGTGTGTGCGTCGTGAATGGAGAGCTTGAAGTTTGAATTTTCCTCCTCTGACGCTGTCTGTTTTACTTAGATAATAGCTTTGCAGAAAGAAAAAGGCAAAGCAAAAGAGCACGTGTGGCTTTGCTCGGGGCCTGGGAGCTCCCTCCGGTGGACGGAGCCGGATCCCCTGACGTACGGCCACCTGACGTTGGGTCACTGACGCGTGGGTCCGGGTCCACACGTCAGCGAGTGCGCCGTACGTCAGAGGAGCTGCGTCCCCGGTGGACCAGCCGAGCCGCCCCAGGAAAGACTAGGTTTACAAGACGCAATCTCCCACCGGGAACCGCGACCGAGGCTTCATTTTTTCTCGTCCGTTTGGTAAGCGAGAAAGGGACGCGCATGCGCATCATTTCTCGTAGGATGGAACGGGTTCACATACTGCACGGTATTGCTATGTGCTGCACATTTGTCACCCGGGTCAACACGACGCCGGGCACGCACATCTTTGTCATGAAAATAGTTAGCCGGCCGGAAAAAGATCGACAAAGCGTATGGATCAAAGGAACCGGATCATCATAAGCTATCTCAATGCCAAATGTATCTTAATAACTTCCCTATAGTCCATTGTGCCGTCCACCGGCGCGGGTGCCTGTAGAAAACTATTGTGACTGTGGCTTGTTTGCCCAGCGACAAGTCAATTTTGAACGATGGCCAAATGTGGAGTCGATTGTGCAAATCCGCGACGTCATACGGAGGACATCGCGGTCTCGCAACCAACCAACCGGCACCGTACATGTGCGTCCGCAGGAGTACAGCGGGGCCCACCCGAGAAAATGACCGGGTTTGTTTGAAAGCAAAGCGTCCCGTATGGTAGCGGGTTTGGACCGGCATCAGCTTTGTGCTTATCGTAAAGACCCGATTTGGTTGCCTCTGCCGGTCTCCCGCGCCCCTCCCTCCAGTCCGGTCCAGCGAACCAACGTGCCTGCCCCGTAGCAGTACCAAACCGTAAAAAAGTTTGAATTTGTCTCTGCTCGTGCTCGTCCAAACCGTCCAAAACCCCGAGCCGACCCAAGCCAGCCGCGCGGCACGAGGTCTCCAGTCTCCTCCTCGAGCAGTGAGATCTCCTCTCCCCCCGCTGGCGGTGCAGCCCATCGAATCGAGCCCCACCCACCATCACCACCCACGACCGCGACCCTTTCTCCGCCCAGCGCTGCTATACACACGACGAACGTGCGGCCGATGACTGAACGATCCTTACGTGGCAGCGTGAAAAGCAAGCGTGCATGCAGGAGCACAGTTGGGGAGTTAGTATCGTTCGGAGGTCGTGCGCTAACTGTCGTCCGTGAAGCAATTTCGTTCTCCGCCACGCCCGAAAGAAAAAGAAATAATCAATGAGAGCCCCCCTCCCCTCCCTGCACGGCGCCTATTCGCTCCCTCGCTCGGTCGGTCAGCTCGTCGCGTGGACTCGAAGCCTCGCTCAGCAGGCATCCTTCCCTTTCCTTCGCTCCGCTTCGTCCCTACAGACCGTCAGACCCCCATCCCTCTCCCAACTCCAAGCTCCAAAGCCCGCTTGCTGAGACCGAGCTTCTCCCCCCCCTCCCCGTCGCTCCCTCTCCCGCCACCTTGCGCTCGCTCGCTTGCTGCGGCGCGCCGAGCTATCTCCGCCGTCCGCCTCGCTCGCTCGCTCGCTCGCTCCAGCGGCGGCAGAGGCCAGACGGGCAGCCCGAGCCGTCCCCTGCCGAGCGGCCCTCGCATTGCGGCTGCGCCTCGTGGGTTTCCGGTCGCATTGTGAGACGGGCGGGGATCGCTCGGGTGGTGCCAGCGCGGCGCGGCGCGGCGGCGGTGGAGTGTCCTCGTGCTGCGCCTGATCTCGCGCCCCCAGATTCGTCGCCGTTCCGGTGATCTGCGCATTTGCTCTGCTGGACAGTATCCGGCGGTGAGTATCTCTCTCTCTCTCTCTCTTTTCCCCGTCGAAAGGGAACTGTCGGTGGGTGTAAGTGGGGGCCGTCGCGAGATTCGCGTTGCCTATTTCGTGCGGTAGCTTTTCCTAAATACGCAGTCGGATTATTTCTTTGGCTGCTGCAATTTCTTTCTTTTATTTTTTTGCTGCAATTTCTTTCGACTTTTCGCGATCTCACTAGTGCACTTCTTTATTGGGCCTTGCTTAATTTACGTGTCGCGTCTACTTTTTAATCAGTAATAATTGGAACTAGCTAGTGTTTGACGCAGTTCCTTTTTCGCGTTTTCCTAAATAAAATTGTTGTCTCCTCTGAATTTCCTCG